CAGATCAAGAACCTGCACAACCAAGACGAGCACGATTCTCAGCCAACAGCCCTAGTAAGTAGGCCTAGTATTATTTCCTTTATTGAATTATCTGCTTTTGTTTTTTTTAGGAGTGTGCATGGGCAAATGTTCAGAAATGCTTAGTGGTTACTAACTGAAGGTTGTCGGTTCAATTCCAGAACTTCACCTTTGAGCAAGATCTAAGCAACTTTAAGGACTGCCTAGCCCTGGCCTAGGCTATCTAGTAAAAATGTCCACTTTCACACTTCTTTGAACAAAAGTACCTCCCAAAAACGTATTTATCTTCTTCCTCCAGCTGAGGTTGCCCGCTGTCTGAACGGAGCTCTGCAGGTGGGCTGCGCAACGTTCGCATGTCTGGAGAACTCGACCTGCGATACTGACGGCATGCATGAGATCTGTAACGCCTTCTTCCACACTGCTGCAATTTTTAATACAGAGGTACAAACGCTCATTGACCTGAACCCTTTACTTAGCGAATCAAAATTATGCCTTTTTACTTTCCGTGGCCCTGAATGCAAGTCATGTTCGTTTTTTCCAGGGTAAGACGTTTGTGAAAGACAGCATCAAGTGTATCGCCAACGGTATCACCTCTAAGGTCTTCCAGACCATCAAACGCTGTTCCACCTTCCAGAAGATGATTGCTGAAGTGCAGGAGGAATGCTACAAGAAGCTTGACATCTGCGAGGTGGCCAGATCCAACCCTGAGGCCATCGGAGACGTGGTCCAGGTGCCCAGCCACTTCCCAAACAGGTAATACTTGATTGGCGTGCGTGATTGAATGTGTTTTTTTGAACATTAAAGCATGTCAACATATTCTGTTACACCAAATACACAAAATAATGATCTTTAAATAAGCATCATATGACCCCTTTAAAGGGATAGCAGACGCAAATGAAAATTCGCGCCTTTTATTTCTTTACTCACTCCTTTCTTCCATGAAACAAAGAAACATTATTTTTTTAGTGCAGCTCTTTTCTATATAATGGCAGTTCAAAGCAATAAATAAGTCTATACGATTGGTTCAGGTACATTTTTAACTTTTATACAATAGGCTATTGCCAAACCAACGATACACACAAAATATAAAAATAAATATAATAATTATAAGGTGTTCAAAATTATAACAATCCTAATGCAATATACTGTACAATGTAAGGTAATAAATGCAATAATACACTTTCCACATTATTTTGCAAAGCTATTTTCTGTGAATCCGCTAGACTTCCTAGTGCAGTAAAGGGTGAAACTATTTGTATCAAGCCAGTTTACATTAAAATAATACATTAAAAGGATAAGATATATGATATGAAATAACAGTTTGCAATAGCAAGAACCATAAAGGGCTGTTTTTGTACGAGTATAATAACTGGAAGCAAATGACACCGGAAGCCTCGCACATTCAAGTTACAAATGGCCGTGCCCGTTTTTACGTTAAAATAAGTTTGATATTGTGTACTATATTTTAAATCTTCTGGCACCATATGATAAACTTGTTTGAGGAGCAGACCAACATTTATATAATGTTTACTATGTTTTTGGTAATTTGGAGATTTACCAACATGAAATGAAAAATAATTTTAAGTAAAATTCTTCCACAATTTGTGTTTCTCAGAAAAAGAAACACCATACAAATATGTAGGCTAAATGTAAATGTTAACATTTTGGAATTCCTGTATAAAGTGAGCGTATTCAACTGTGCATTCTAATGCATCATACCTTGGTGTTGCAGGTACTACAGCACACTTCTGCAGAGCTTGATGGAGTGCGACGAAGACACCGTGGAGGTGGTGCGAGCCGGGCTGGTGGCCAGACTTGGACCTGATATGGCCACACTCTTCCAGCTGCTTCAAAACAAGCCCTGCCCACCCGAACCTGCTGCTGCTGGGTCTTCTGGGATGGAGGGCCACACCGGCTTCCGCTGGCCTCCCATGTTCAAGATCCAGCCCAACCTGCGCAACAGGGACCCCACGCACCTCTTCGCCAGGAAACGCTCAGTTGAAGGGAGCTCTTAGAGTCGCATCTTCACAACTCTCCATATGCAACATGCATCACGCTGATGTGTATAAATGGAAGATTGCATTAAAAAATGTAGTTTTATAACCGGACACAATGGAGATCTTTGCTTAGTTCACGAAAACCAACAACTACTTGATTCTTTAATTGCATTACATTCAATATACATGCCAATGTCATTTATAGCAGAAAACATGTTTTAGACTCTTAATATTTATTGCATGGTTTATGGCCTAATGCAAGAGAAGCTAAATTGTGATGTGCAGGATATTATCATGAAATTTTGAAAAAAGGAAACCTGTCACCTTAATCAACTTGTAGTGGCAGGACAGAAGTATTTATTAGTGTAAACTGAAAATAATTTATATTTATTTTCCTACCAAATGTAATTTATATAGTATATTATTGTTTATTGTGATCTGAAATGACAATGAAGAGTCTTTATTCTTTAAGAGAGAGAAAACTACATATTTCTGGATATGTTTCCTATGCTGGTCATGGGAAATATTGTATAGGGCATACTTTGTTCATTTTGCTGATATTGTATAGTTGATGTGCTTGGATAGAAATAAAACTTCCTGATATACTAAATAGTTTCAGCTTTCATTTCTGACGGTATGAAATGTAACCATGATGTTGCCAAAAGCATCCATATAGGCTACTGTTATAATAGAATCTAAATCTAAACTCATCAAACAGTAATGTTTCTGTGCTCGCAAGGGGGCGCTGCTTTCAAACACATCGCGTTCTTACAATTTACCAGACAAAACACTCTTTTTGGAAATGCAATTGTTTCCTTGTGGTCACACATTTCTCCTAACAATGAGCCGTAACATTGAAACTGTATTTACATATTTGTTTGTATATTTTTACGTTACATTAGGAAATCATCTCGTAGATCTATTAGAACTGCACGATTTGCCTAGCTAAAAGAAATGTTACTAGACTAAATCTAGTGTTATACAACACTAGAGTTGATGCTATGTTATACAAATATTGAATTTGTCTGTTCTTCAGTATAAAAAAAACACGTATTGTTGATTGCCTAAATGACAATCCTGCTCAATGATCAAGCTGCAGTTTGGTCAAATTATGCAAAAAGTGTGTACACATTATCTAATCATAAATGGAAAATGACATAAATGGAAAACATTAGTCGCATTTAACCAAGTAATTTCCACCATATAAGCAAAAAAACAACAACAACAAAAACATGTACTTTGATCATTCATAATTACAACATGAAAAAGTTATATTTAGGAGAAGAAAAGTCGAAATTATTACATACATGAGATAACAGATCATAATTATGACATAAAAAGTCACAATTATGACTAAAAGTAATAATTAGCCTATTGACATACACAATTTTTGAAAATGTTCTCATTATTTTGAACTTTTTATCTCATATGACTTAGTATATGACACAAAAAGTCATATTATTAAAAGTGCCATCATTTACCGGTAAGAAATTCCACACGCAAAATCCAGTCATTTCAACAGGATTCGACGCTTTTTAGGAAATTCGCTGGAGGACGAAAATTTCCCCAGTTTTGCAACGTGTGCAGGCCTGTCACCCGAATTTGACCACTGACCAGCAGAAAGCTTCTTGAAGGTGATTTCTATGAGGTGTGCTTTACATTGCTTAATAGACAGCGGACCTTTTTGGCCGCGAAATTTCACTAATGTGACAACATTTTATCAAGCTGTTAAAGGGGTCATAGGATGTCCATTTTCCACAAGTTGATATGATTCTTTAGGGTCTTAATGAAAAGTCTGTAACATAGTTTGGTTAAAATTTCTCA